GGAAGAATGTTCCTTACACTTGTGGTCATTGAGAAGAATTACCCCCTTATAGATAGCTAAAAATATCAATGGTGTCAGCAGGAACCTATCTGAGAGGCGGATATTGCTTGTTGCTCAAGGAACCCCAACCTCTGGAGGAATCCTGGTTGAGAAACCCTGGTGTAGACCAAGGACCATTGGTCTGTCAGGATGCCTTTATCACACAGATTAACTGAACACAACTACAAATCCTTTTGGTGGTTCTTAAAAGTATTTCAACTGTGTATTTCGCTGCTTGTTTGGCGTTTAACTTTAGATTGACCTTCCCATCTGCATACAATGTTCTAGCAAGTTTATCTAATTAAACCTGTATATTATTATTATGTCTAACTCAGATCTACAGAGCAGCGTAAAATACTCTTTGGGGGAAAATCCTTCTCAGGGTTTGGAAATTTGCAGGGACATTGAACATGTAGGAGTGCACAATATAGAAATAAATACACCAGTGACTTGGGGCCCAACTGCCCGGGTGTAAGTCAGCAACATTTATCTATATGCAAATTCCAGATCTGAAATTCCAGTTGTGTCTGGCCACCAATCCATCAGTCTGGCTGGTATCCAAAATTCCCTCCTGAATTCATATGTAAAAAACATTTTGAAATGTATATTTATCTTGAAGAAGGGGGAACATGGAAACTTCAACATATTTCCGTGAGAGGTAGTATTTGTTACTTAAACGTTACTAATATTGCAAATCCAAACTTCTGTTTTGGTAGAATTAGACGTCAAACAGGAACTAATAAATTAAGAATTGGGTGGTCAAAGTATGTTTGAATGTTCACATACAGATACTTATAGCATATATTTCTGTTAAGCTGTACAGCTAACAATTTCTGTTGAGTGTATTCAATTCTTCTACAGGACCTAAAGTGATTGCTAATGTAATTAAAAAAAACCCAAACAAACAGGTTTATACATACATACTCTCTGCAGTGGAATTGCACAGATCAGCTCTGATCCTCCTCTTCTTGGGTCCCCCACGAGTGCTCCTGTCTCCTCCTCCCTGGCGAGCGCCCCCATAGGAAGCCGCCTCCTATGGGGGTACTTGTGCAGGCTCACTCCCGCGCCTCGCTATCTGTGTATAGACACAGATAGTGGATCTTGACCCCTCCCCCATTACCTCGCCACTAGCTTCGATTGACAGCCAATGGCTTTGCTGCCTCAGAAAAGCCTGAGAGACCAGGAAGTGAGGAGAGAGAAGAACTGCAAACAGCACAGTGCTGGATTGAATGAGAGGTCAAGTAAGTAAAAGGGGAGGGGGGGGGGGGGGGGCAAGGGGGTATACTGATGCCTATACATGTTTTACCTTAATGCATAGAATGCATTAAAGTGGTTGTAAACCTCAAACATGACATATGAACAAGCTACAGAAATAGAAAGAGATAGCCTGGCCATCACACAGCTCACTTGGCTCGACTGGTTAGCAGGTAAAAGCAGCCTCAGCTTGCTTCATCCAGACCATGCCCTTGGAGGCTGGTTTTACATGCATGCTTTGGGTCTGGATGGACCTTTTTTCAGCCTGAACACTCACTAGTCAGCAACATCCAACTTATTGGATTTTGACAGCCTAAGCAGGGACTCTTAAGCATTTATCTTGAGTCACATGAAATATGAACAAGCATATTTCTCTATAGTGTGTAGTTGTCTCAATTAAAATCACTAAGGGTCATTTCTACTGTTCTGTTCCTCTGCTATCAGCATGAATAATTTTTGACAGGTTTTCATGACACCAAGAAGAAATTGTGACAGGGGAAGGACCTCCAGCAGATTGACAGCATCAGCTCTGTTCCTGTTAGCTGTGTGGAAGGGGATGTGTCTCTTCCCTCCAATAAGCTCTCAGACCTCTCCTCACTTATCTCTTCAGTGTGTAATTTCAGCTCTCTGCCCCTTTTTTTCTGACCTCTCAGACAGTTTTTATAAATTCAGCACTTTGAACAAATGTAGAGGAGGGATGACTGTAGATAAACAGGTACAACGTATGTAGGAGGATTTGTTTAATCTCTGTGTATCACCTGATGATGGTCCCTTCACTGGATATATGTAAGGGTTTACAACCACTTTAAAGGTAAAAAAAAAAATGATTAGGCTTTATAACCACTTTAATAACTGCAGGGCTAAAAGATGCTACCTGGTTTTAATTAGCGAACAGTTTCTCAAACCAAGTTAGTGAACTTTGCAGCAATCCCCACTAAAGTCTGAAAGGGAAGGGGGTAGGGAGTTGCTTGTTATTTAGTTTTGTCCTTTTGATGGGTTAATAGGTAAGCTATTGTCAAACAAAAGGTATGGGAAGCCAGGTCATGATGGACATGTAACAATGCCAAAATTAAAATATAAATATATACAAATATTAAAATCCACCATCTCTCTCTACACAGAATTTTTAGTCTCCTTGACAATTCCAGCACACACTGACAATATGGCTGCTTTAAACCCCCTCATTTATACAAAGGGGGCCAGGTTATCCATTTATTAAAACTATTGGCTCTTGTGACTAAGTTCACTAGAGGCAAAGGCTATGTACTGCATTATGAGTTGTTCACTATTTCAGGTGGTAAATCTGCAAAGATCTTGGTCAAAACTTTATTTATTTCCCAATAACATTTTATTGAGAAAAGAACAAGAACAGCATTTACCTTACAGCAGTTTTGTGAAAACAGTTAGCCAAAACATTTCTATATAGAGAGACACATTTACAAGGTACGACTCAGAATGGTGACTGTTCCCAGCTGCCAATACTAAAAGTATGTAGTTATCAGGGGCGGACTGACCATATGGAAACTGCCCGAGGGCCCGGGGTCAGTAGGGGGCCCCATGAGATGCCCCTGGTACCTTTTTCATAGGCTTTTTTGAGTTTGGGCAAGGACACAGGGGCCCCATGATCCCCTATTGCCCGGGGGCCCCATGAGTTGTCAGTCCGCCCCTGGTAGTTATTAACAGTAATAAAACCTGCGAGAGGGTCAGGTGAGCAGTAGTAGAGACAGTAAGATATCTGGAGCCTCGTGCTTAAAAAAAAGGGGAGATATGACTAAGCCCAAGGGAGTCTCAGGGAAGATATGGGTACCAAGCAAACCCTTCCTGTTGGGGGTATTTTGTGGGGGTGAAGTTGGGTTATGGGTAATATAATCTCAAATTGGGAGAAGGAATTCAATAACTAAAACAAGGGAAAGAGGCCAAAAGGTAGAAGAAGAAGAAGAAGAAGGAAAAAAAGAAGACCGGAGAGAAAAAAAAGGGGTGGGGGAAAGAGATTAACTCTTTAGCTATCTCTTTGTCTCTTGGACATGAGCTACCCCATCTGTCATCTTATCTCATAAGATATCACTAACTAAAACAAGGGAAGGAGGCAAAAGGTAGAAGAGGAGTAAGGGAATGAAGAAGACAGGAGAGAAAAAAAAAAGGGTGGAGGGAGAGAGATTAACTTCTTAGCTATCTCTTCGTCTCTTCACCATGAGCCACCCCATCCATCACCTTATCTTCTAAGATATTAGGCCCATGATAGTCTTACAAGGAAAGCCTTGGAAACACAGATAACGGTCATGCGGGGTATACGGTCAATTCCATCAGATGTTGGAACTGTTCAGTCATTGGGAAATGAAGTCAGCAGGCCCCAGTGGTTGAAAACATTGTTATTTGTGACCTTTGTGAATCTCTGGGATTTGCCACAAACCCATGGCAGAAGAGAACCCTAATCTCAACGCTGTTAAAGAGGAACTTCAAGTTGTACAAAGCCTTGACTTATTAATAGAGATGTCCCAGGATTAAACGTAAACTTGGCTTTTTCTGTTGTGCCTGTCTTTCTCTATGTGTTAGTAGTGATGGTGATGTTCTTCTCTTATCATCTGCATGCAGCCTCCAGGGTCATCATATGGGAAAGCAAAGCTGGCCATACTACTTCAATAACATGAGATTGCAGACCTGCCAGCCCCCCCCCCCCCCCTCTATATTTTAATTTATGCTTCTAAACCTGGCATCTTTTTTAAAGCAAAATTTTATCTAGCTTATATTTTGCCTTCCACCCTTTCCAACAAACATATTGATTACATTTTAAATATACACCTTTATTACTGGATGCATGTGGTTCAATATGCAATGCAGGCAGATCATGGCTAATGGTAGGGGCCAACAGGGTGTTGTACATAGCTAACTGAAAACATCACAGCACCCAACCCTAATATTCCTTTGAAGAACCCTCAACCATGAAGCAAGCAATGGGCTGATGATATTAAAGTATACCTGTACATAACACATACAAGAGGCTGAGATAGCACAATTTAAAGTAATCGCAAAGGCTCAAGGTTATTTTACCTTTATTTATTCTAAAAAAATCTTCTGTGTGCAGCACTAATACTTACCTGAGCCCCACCGCGATCCAACAATGTGCATGAGAGCACCTGTCCTCATTGGTTGAGACAGCAGTGGGAGCCATTAGCTCCCTCTGCTGTCACTCACAGCCAGTGAGCCAATGAGGAGACAGAAGGGGTGGGGCCAAGCTGCACTCTGTGTGTGAATGGACTGTGTGCTCAGGATCAAACCTGCTTGGGTAACCCCATAGCAAGCTGTTTGCTCTGTGGACACTCTCCAGGAGAGCGGGGGCCCAGAGCACCAATGGGGCACCTGAGAAGAGGAGGATCGGGGCTGCTCTGTGCAAAACCACTGCACACAGCAGGCAAGTATAACATGTTTATTATTTTTTTAATTGCCTTTAACCCCTTCACAATCACTCTAAAGCAGAAATACTGCTACAGGGCGGCACGGGTGCACACAATTACGTATATATATGTGATTTTGCATTACCGGGTATGGGGCACGTGTGAGCCGAGTGCGTGCCCTACCCGCACCGCCATTCGTGGCCTTGGCTGTCAATCACTGGGTCCTGGCTGGTGATTACTCACTGGCACCTGGTGATAGTCCGAGCATCTCCGATGGGGAGGAGCACTGTTTGAAAACAATACAGTTCTCCTCCCTGTCAGCTTGTGCACACTGCTTTGGATGGCTGTGCACAGCACAGCACAACCATGCAAAGCAGTGTGCTTACAGCGAAGCACACGGACACAACACATAGTAAAACAGCACACAGTTAACCCTTTGAACACCCCTCATGTTAACCCAGTCCTGCCCAGTGCCATTAGTACAGTGTCAGTGCTTTTCTTTAGCACTGATCACTGTATTGGTGTCACTGGGGATGTCAGTGACACCAAGTCAGTTCCCCCCAGTGTCAGAATGCCCGCTGCAGTCCCACAGTACCGCTGATCGCCGTCATTACTAGTGATAATAATAAAAAAAAAATACCAGTATATACAGTGAGGAACAGAAGTATTTGAACACACTGCGATTTTGCAAGTTCTCCCACTTAGAAATCATGGAAGGGTCTAAAATTCACATTGTAGGTGCATTCCCACTCTGAGAGACAGAATTAAAAAAAAAATTCAGAAAGTCACATTGTATGATTTTTAAAGAATTTATTTGTCTTGCACTGCTGAACATAAGTATTTGAACACCTGAGAAAATCAGTGTTAATATTTGGTACAGAAGCCTTTGTTTGCAATTACAGAGGTCAAACGTTTCCTGTAGTTCTTGACCAGGTTTGCACACACTGCAACAGGGATTTTGGCCCAATCCTCCACACAGATCTCCTCTAGATCTGTCAGGTTTCGGGGCTGTCACTGAGCAACACGGAGTTTCAGCTCCCTCCAAAGATGTTCTATTGGATTTAGGCCTGGAGACTGGCTAGGCCACTCCAGAACCTTGATATGCTTCTTACGGAGCCACTCCTTGGTTATCCTGGCTGTGTGCTTCGTTGTCATGTTGGAAGACCCAGCCACGACCCATCTTCAATGCTCTGACTGAGGGAAGGAGGTTGTTGCTCAAAATCTCACAATAAATGGCCCCATTCATCCTCTCCTTAATACAGTGCAGTCGTCCTGTCCCCTTCGCAGAAAAGCACCCCCAAAGCATGATGTTACCACTCCCCATGCTTCACAGTAGGGATGGTGTTCTTGGGATGCAACTCATCCTTCTTTTTCCTCTAAACACGAGTGAAATTTAGACCAAAAAGTTCTACTTTGGTCTCATCTGACCACATGACTTTCTCCCATGCCTCCTCTGGATCATCCAGATGGTCATTGGCAAACTTCAGATGGGCTGGACATGTGATGACTTGAGCAGGGGAACCTTCCGTGCAATGCATGATTTGAAACCATGAGGGCGTAGTGTTCTACCGACAGTGACCTTTGAAACTGTGGTCCCAGCTCTCTTCATGTCATTGACCAGCTTCTCCCTTGTAGTTCTGGGTTGATTCCTCACCTTTCTTATCATCATCAGTGATACCCCATGAGGTGAGATCTTGCATGGAGCCCCAGTCCGAGGGAGACTGACAGTCATCTTTAGCCTCTTCCATTTTCTAACAATTGCTCCAACAGTTGATCTATTTTCACCAAGCTGCTTGGCAATTGCCCCGTAGCCCTTTCCAGCCTTGTGGAGGTCCACAATTTTGTCTCTGGTGTCTTTTGACAGCTCTTTGGTCTTGCCCATGGTAGTAGTTGGCGTCTGACTGACTGTGGGTGGACAGGTGTCTTTAAAGAGCTCAGACAGGTGCTACTAAGTTAGATTAATGAGTGGAGTAGAGGTGGACTTTTTAAAGCCACAGTAACAGGCGCAGCCAGAATTCTTGCTGTTTCTCAGGTGTTCAAATACTTATGTTCAGCAGTGCAAGACAAATAAATTGTTTAAAAATCATACAATGTGATTTCCTGAATTTTTCTCTAAATTCTGTCTCTCAGAGTGGGAATGCATCTACAATGTGAATTTCAGACCCCTCCGTGATTTCTAAGTGGGAGAACTTGCAAAATCGCAGGGTGTTCAAATACTTCTGTTCCTCACTGTATACCCCCATTTGTAAATGCTATAACTTTCACGTAAACCAATTAATTTACCAGTTAATTGGAATTTTTTTTGCTAAGACATGTAGCAGAATACATTTTGGCCTAAATTTATGCTGAAATTAGATTTTTTTAATTCTTTTACTGGACATGTTTAATAGCAAAAAGTCAAAAATACTGTTTTTTTTCTCAAGATTGTAGGCAATTTTTTTTTTAAATCACAAAAAATAAAAATCGCACAGGCAATCAAATATCACTGAAAGAATGCTCAATCCGTGGGAAAAAAAAAGGACATACATTTTATTTGGGTGCAGCATTGCATGACCGCGCAAATGTAGTTAAAGTAACGCAGCGCCATAATGCAAAAAATGGCCTGGTCATGAAGGGGGGTGGTAAATCCTCTTGAGGGCAAATACTTTAAGGCATCTCAAATCTGCATACTTTCCCTTATTCTGAGAACTTTTTTTGTTGCATGCCACAACATTTCCTAATATTTTATATTGCACATACACAGATGAAGCTCTGAAGACTCATATACAATGTCTGTAGGAGTAAATATAGTAGCTTTGTACATACTGGGGGTATTTAATAAGACTGCTGTGGCACTTTTCTGGCATTATTCCTTCTTGGTAATGTATTACTCCAAATTCATGAAGCATTTGTGACACATTTGGTTCTGACACCAACTCGTGCACCAAATTCAAATAGTTCTAAAATACACCACTTTTACATTGCCTTGCATCAAATGGAACTAATAAGGACCAACTCTCTTTGGCGTGCAGAGAGAGAAACAAAATCTGTCTGCGCCAGTCTTTATGAATTCCAGAGATTTTCTTTTGTCATTTAATATGGTCAGGAATAACAAACCTTTTTTTTTTTGCACGTTAACCACTCGCCCTCCAGAGGACGTATTCCCCTTGCTTACCAGGCCATTTTTTGCGATACTGCACTGCGTTATTTTAACTGACAATTGAGAGGTCATGCAACATTGCACCCAAATGAAATGTATGTCCTTTTTTTCTCACAAATGGAACTTTCTTTTGGTGGTATTTGATTGCCTCTGTGGTTTTTATTCTTTGCACTATAAACAAAAAATTAAAAAAATCAAATTTCATCAAAAATTTAAGCCAAAATGTATTCTGTCTTTGCTAAAAAAAATCCCAATACGTGTACATTAATTGGTTTATGTGAAAGTTTTAGATTCTACAAATGGCGGTATATATAGTGGATTTTTTTTTGGCACCCTAATACTAGTAATGGCGGTAATTAGCGGCTTATAGTGGGACTGCGGGACTGAGGCGGGCATTCTGACACTGGAGGGGAACTGACTAACTGTCACTGACATCCCCAGTGACACTAACACAGTAATCAGTGCTAATAAAAAGCACTGACACTGTACCAATCACACTGGGCAGGAAAGAGTTAATATCTGGGGAGATCAAAGGTAACTGTGTGCTGTGTGTGTGTTTTACTGTGTGCTGTGTGTTTTACTGTGTAAGCACACTGCTTTGTATGGCTCTGCTTTAACAGGGGAGAGATCTGTATTGTTTACATACAGACCTCTCCCCCATCAGTGATATTTGACGATCGTGGGGGAGTCACCAGCTGGGACCTGGTGATCAACAGCTGAATCCGTCTATGGCGGCCGCTACCCAGAAATGCAAAATCATATATATATATATATATATATATATATATACACACACACACACATGATTTTGAGAAAGCGGTTTTTAAGTGTGCCCACAGGGAAAAATTAACAACACAGTGGATACCAGATATGTAGACAAAAGTCAGTTTTTTTTATGTTTTCCAAAGGGTGTGCACATATTAATATTACAATTTCCATACCAGAAATTATTAGATTTATAAAAATACGTGTGCAATAATTTTATAAAAACATGTATTTTCTCTTAATTGAATCAGTCCATTTGCTACCAATATACCATAATGCCCACTTTCTGACACGTTTCACGATTTAAACCACTTCTTCAGGACTGGGTGAAAAAGAAAACACAATGGAGGAAATTTACTTTTAAGGGAGAGTGCAAAAATCTGTTGTAGCTCTGCATAGACACAAATCAGCTTCCAGGTTTCATGGTCAAAGCTTAATTAAACAAGCTGAAGTTAGAAGCTGATTGGCTATCATGCACAGCTATACCATAATCCGAGTGCTCCAATTTTACTAAAACTCTTCCAAAAGTTCTCAGAAGCTAGATCCATCTAAATAAGAACAATGTCATAATATAATAGTAAATACAAGCATATATGCAAAACTCACAAATATATTGTACTTACTAGTAAACATAATGGGGTTTATTTACTAAAGCTGGAGAGTCCAAAATCAGACTCCCTTCTGCATAGAAACCAATCAGCTTCTAACCTCAGCTTGTTCAATGAAGCTTTGGCAATGAAACCTGGAAGCTGATTGGTTTCTATGCAGAAGGGAGTCTGATTTTGGACTCTCCAGCTTTAGTAAATAAACCCCAATATGTCAAAGCAACAGGTAGGTACTGCTAATACCACGCATCTGTTTTTTTACAGTCACGATTCAGTCTCAAATGATGGTAGCCCTGGATCGGCAAGTAAGTAAAACAGTAGTTAGACTGTGTGCCAAAAAACTGAAAGCCAAATTAACAAAAGCAAATCATAAAAAAATGTAAAAAAGATAAAAAAAGGTCCCCTTCGGGAACATATGGTTCTCCTAGCCTGTGAGGAAACCCCAAAGAGGATCGTTGGCAAATACCATTAAATAGCTTGGTTCTATGTAGATAGGAGATGGTTATATGTGTATAATACACATGTGGGTGAGATGGGGGCCACATGTCCTGGATTGCCCCTAAGTGATATATATATGTTTCTTGTAAATATTGTAAATAAGTGAAGGGATCACCCCAAAATGATATATATGTCTCTTCCAAGTATGCCAAAAAGTGAATACAGGTCACAGGGACAGGTGCCATAAATACCTGTATGTGTGTTCTAAATTAAGTACCAGCTGTAGCACCAACAGTAACCATATACAATTTTATATATTTATATTTTTTAAGTCAGGTGTAACTCTTGACACACCTTTACATGTATTTATCTATTTCTTTACAGTTTGCCGGGAAAAAACCTCTGATGTTTACAGACCTCAATAGCTCAAGCTGATATTACATGCACAGCTAAATGACTCATTGCAATGACTTATTAGACTCCTTATTGGGCATTTCAGGCTGAAGTTCAGGCAGTGTCTGGTGTGCTGTTCCTTTAGCTAATGTCACGATCAGGGGTCAGGCTCAAAGACCAGTTGCTATAGCAGTGGAAAGGCTCACCTGAAACCAGCAGGATAGGTACACAGGCAGGTCACCGTGGTGGAGGAGTGGGATCACCCGAGGTGCAGAGTCTAAGTACCAACCGGTGTTCACCAGAGTTCCTGATGGTGGAGATGGATTTTGCTGCGTGTTAGTACCAAGTCGCGGTCCTCAGGATCACCCCACCAGGAGGTGAGCAACCGGAGGTCCAGTAGCGTATAAGCAGGTAAGAATCAAATGGAAGCGTGGTCAGTAAACAAGCAAAGGTCGGTAAGGAGCAGTCGCAGGTTGGGATCAGGCAGAAGCGTAGTCGAAAACAAGCCAAGGGTCAATAACGAGTGGTAGCAAAATATGGATAATAAAGGAGCACAATACTGGCTGTAGAGCACAATAATCTGGCAAACAGGAAGTGCAGAGACATGGCTTATATCAGGAAGTTCATGGGAGCCGTCCAGCATTCCAGGTGGCTCAGCAAGAAGAAACATAGCCACTCATCACAGAAGGCCCAGGTTCGGACCCAGGCTCTGACAGTACTTCCCTCCTCACAGGACGTCCCAAGGACATTTTAGGACCAGGCTTGTGGGGAAACCTCTGGTGGAATTCTCTTTGTTAATCTAGGAGCATGAACATTTTCCTCAGGCTCCCAAGAATTCTCCTCTTGCCCACATCCTTCCCATTGGACAAGATATTGCAATTTTCCTCTAAACATCCTAGAGTCAAGAATCTTTTCCACCACATATGCTTCTTCACCCTGTACTTTAACAGGTGGAGGAGGTGGAAGAATTCTTCCAGAGAAAGGATTTTCATGAAATAGTTTGAATAGCGATACGTGAAAAAAACAGGGTGAATCTTCATATTGTGAGGAAGTTTTAAGCGAAAAGTGACTGGGTTGATCTAAGCAGAAATCTGGAAAGGTCTCACAAACCTTTGGTCCAACTTTGCAGATGAAACATGACCCTTCAGATTTTTGGCAGATAAGCAAACCTTGTCGCCCACCTGAAAGGTAGGAAGTGATCTGCTATGTCTGTCGGCAGCCTTTTTATAACATGCCTGAGCCTCCCCCAAAGTCTCGATCAACTTCGCCTGAATCTCTTCCAATGTAATTAATCTGTTGGCAACAGCAGGAATTTGAGTTGTGATACGGAAATCAAGAATAAAAACTGGTTGATACCCCGTATTGAGGAAAAAAGGGCTTTGGGAGGTGAAGCTATGTTTAGCATTGTTATAGGCAAACTCTGCCGTAGGAAGATAGTCCACCCAGTCATCCGGAAGATAACTGACAAAACACCGAAGGTACTGCTCCAAAGTTTGATTGTCCCTCTCAGTCTGACCATTAGATTGAGGATGAAAAGCAGAGGACAGGTTAACTGTTACCCCTAAAGCTGAACATAAGCTTTTCAAAACTTTTGATGTAAACTGTACTCCTTTGTCAGATACCATATTATCAGGAATTCCATGTAGTTTAAAAACATCTTGAACCATCAACTCCACAGTTTGTTCAGCAGAAGGTATCCCTTTAACAGGTATAAAATGAGCCATCTTAGTAAGACGGAAGACGACTATCAAGATAGTGCTCATTTCTTTTGTGGGAGGTAATCCGACTACAAAGTCCATAGAAATTGACCCCCAAGGTCTTGATGGAACAGGAAGTGGCTGGAGCAACCCCAAAGGAGAAGCTCGGGGTGTTTTTATGGCGTGTGCACGTCAGACAGGAGGCCACATAGCGTTTGATATCTTTCCTATAACTAGGCCACCAG